AAGAAAGTAAAAAGACAACTTACAGAATGGGAGAAAATAGCTGCAAATCATAAATCTGATAAGGGACTTATATCTAAAATATACAAAGAACTCCTACAGCTCAATAATAAAAAGACAAATGATCAAATTTAAAAATGGATAAAAGACATGAACAGACATTTCTTCAAAGAAGACAAATGGCAGGCATTCAACAATATTAGCCATTAGGTAAATGCAAATCCAAACCACAATGAAATACCACTTCACAGCCACCAGAATGGTTATCAAAAAGATAATAACAAGAAGTGGAGAAAAATTGGATTCTTCATACATTGTTGGTGAGAAAATAAAATAGTGCAGCCACCTTGGAAAACATTTTGGCAGATCCTCAAAATGTTAAGCACAGAATCATCTTATGACCCAGGAATTCCACAGCTAGAAATGAAAACGTATCTACACAAAACCTAGTACAAGAATACTTATAGCAGCATTATTCATAATAGCCCCAAAGTAGAAAGAACCCAAATGTCCACCAATATTTGGGTGGTAGGAGAATGAGAAAGAGGAAGAAAAAATTTGCTTATTATATAAAATAAATATCAATAAGGAAAATATATAGAGAGCCATTAACAGATTTCACTTCTGAGACTGGTCACATAGCTGTACTTCAGATTTATCATTTTCTTATTCCACTAACAATTCCATTTTCCCTTTGTCCTCAGCCAGCATCTCTACTGATCATGGTACTTTGCCTAGGGAAATGATCTATATTTTCAAGGCTCTGAACTATTGAGATCCTGATGATACTGGATTACTGTAGTTTTCCATTATCTTTTGTCACTGGACATGGGAGTACCAAAAAGGCCAAAAAATCCCCTGGGTTATGGACATACATCCTCCCATGTATAGCAGGAACCTTATTTCCTCTTGATAATAAGGATCAGACAAAATCAATCACTATCGTCAAATGTGCTAAAATATGAAAATATTCTTCTAAGAAAATAAATACACCTACAAACAAAAAAGCTGAAGAAAATGATCTGATGGAAGCGCAGAACTAATGGAAGGAATGAGGAGGGCTAAGAAAGAGTAAATAGGGAATGGCAGAAAACGTAATGGCAGTAACTTTGGACTCAATGACCAAACACTGTAAAGCAATGGCTAAGTCTATGACGTTTGCCCTGATCAGCATGATCACATTTCCAGGCATCAGTAACTAAGTGTGTGTGTGTGTGTGTGTGTGTGTATCTCGCCGAAGTAGTTCTCCCCTCTTTTACAAACTAGACTAAGAGAACCAACCATGTTATGTAAATTCATTACATTTGTACAAATAATTGTATTCATGATGAAGAGAATTAACTTCTTTGTGAGCAAAACATAAATGTTATGAAAGGTTTTTAATGTCACTGTTTAAATGCTTACATGAGGCTTTTAAGTATGGCCACTTTCATTGTGAAGGTTATATATTTTAAATTTACATGATACACCTAAAACAGAAAACCAAGAATTGAAAGAAAAGACCAGAGAAACAATTATCACACTATTCCGGATAGCAAGCAGCAGGACGGGACACAGAAAAGAAACATGGTAGATCCAACAGTATTTCATCTAAACCTAGCTCTTAAGGTGGGTCCTAGGTTTCCTAATTTGCATGCCATTATTATGCATCAAAATTTATATACTCATTTACATGTACCAAAGGTTACTTAGTGAAATTTTTAGAAGAACAGAGGTAATGAAATGAGATAGCTTGATTTATTATTTCTAGACAAATAATTAAAAGGAAGATTTGTAGACGGAAGTACCTGTTTCATTTCCTGCTGCATGGTCATTGTGGATCTGCTGTAAACCAGGAACTGGCCGCGTTGTCAGATACCAAACTGCATGCAGGACATCTGTGGCGTGTATGCGATTATGATCTAAAGTCACCAAAATGTTTTATAAAAATGTTATGTTTAACATAGGACATTTCTTAAAGTACAATAATTTTCTACTATCCTATATCCACATAAATAAAATGTATGGCTTGGAATAACTTCCCACAATTATATTTCATTTTAATTTTTTTTAATAGGCTCAATGCCCAACGCGGGGCTTGAACTCACGACCCTGAGATCAAGAGTAGAGTAGCACGTTCTAGTGACCAGGCCAGCCAGGAACCCTTGTTTCATCTTATTTTTTTAAAGTCTCTTGATGTATTAAAAAGTTCTTTTAAAAACTTTCACATATACTATGAAAACATAGTAAGACAGTCAAAGGAAAGGCAAGTAACAAGGGCTAACTGAAAGGCATAGAGGGGCGCCTGGGTGGCTCAGACGGTTAAGCGGCTGCCTTCGGCTCAGGTCATGATCCCAGGGTCCTGGGATGGAGTCCTGTGTCGGGCTCCCTGCTCGGTGGGGAGCCTGCTTCTCCCTCTCCTTCTGCTCCTACCCCCTGCTCATGTGTGCTCTCTCTCTCGCTCTCTCTCAAATAAATAAACAGAATCTTTAAAAAGAAAAAAAAAAAAGAAAGGCACTGAAAAATTTACTGAAGGTTGCTATTTTGTAGCTTTAAAAATACTATGTAAATAGTGTCTGGATTATGGAGACCCATGTTTGCACACAGGCAACACTTACAAATTCTGGATACTTGAACTTCCCCACCACAAAAAACACATACACCAAAAAAAAGGAAAGAAAAGAAAAGAAAGAAAGAAAGAAAGAAAGAAAGAAAGAAAAGATGAGACACACCTCTCTCTCAGGCCTGCTAGAAAGATGAAATGTTAAAATGGCATATGAAAACATCCAGAACAGCATCTGAGACATAGCACATGATCAAGAAACACTGGTTTACTGAAATATCACTACGTGAGAAGGCAAGACCTACAAGTGAAACCCAGCTTTTGCCATTTCTAAGAGTTTTATGATCTTGGGAAAGTTTCTTCTGAGTTTTTATTCTCACCTGTGAAAGGTAGATAATATAAACTTTCCAACAAGGATTAAATGACATAATCTTCATAGATCTAATGATTACAGTCACAGCTGATATGCAATAAAAGTGCAACACTTCAACAGATATTTAGTGAGTCCCAGGTAGAATCAGCAGATGACACAATACTAAATGTTCAGGCCATGACATGACATGACGTCCATCTGCGAGGAGCTTAATTATTCATATAGCCAACTGACCATTTACTATACACCAGGGACTCTGAGATGCACTTTCCATGGCTTATCTCATTGCTATCTATGGAGTAGAGACTACTGTAATTTCCATTTACAAACCTGGATACTAAAGTTTAGAAAAGTTAGATGCAGAGGCTCTTTTCTAACATCCTATTTGGAGCTGATAGTAAAGACTCTTTATTGCCTCTTTATTTTCCCCATTCTCCTTCCTTTGAAGTCCATTTTAAAGTATCACTTCAAATGAGGCTGGGGAACTCAGTTGGTTAAGCATCTGCCTTCAGCTCAGGTCATGATCTCGGAGTCCTGAGCAGGGAGCCTGCTTCTCCGTCTCCCTCTGCCTCTTCCCTCTGCTCGTGCTCACGCTCTCAAATAAATAAATAAATCTTAAAAAAAAATAAAGTATCAGTTTATTCTATTTATAAAATGCAGTCACTTTTTAAAAAGCATATTTTGTAAGTGGAAATTACAGCACATATAACTCACATTAAGGATCATCATTATTAATGAGTTATACCAATTTAAGAATAATTTGCTCTGTGTTTATGTAAGTTGATTTCCCATAACGTGTCCATATGAAGGGAAACTGTAGAAATATAGATGTATAAGGAAACCTGTATCATTTCCTAATATGAAATTCAAATTATATTTTACCATAAAATCAAATAGCCATTAGCAATTAATCAGGTCAGGACACAGTTAAAAACAGAAATTCTATGGATAGTTTTAAAATATTTTCAAGTCAAGAATTTTCTGACACTCTTCACTTAATTACCAAACATTTTAAAAGATACTCAGATGAATAATTATTAACATAGAAAGTTGTACACCATATAATAATTAAGGGAGAGAGCACAGTATATGTCTATATTATGATTCACTTTATGAAACATAAATAAGAAAATATACCAAAATGTTAATAGTAGTCCATTAGCTCTAGGTAGCAGCATATAGATTACTTAAATTTTTCCAAACATGTAATTTAAAAAGTGTTTAGATCTGAAGGGAAAAATAATAGTTTCAAAACCAGTATTATCTGAACTTAAGTAATAAGATCTGCTGATACTTACAAGGAATGTCTCGGTAGCCATTCTCCAATGCACGAAAATAGTTCATGAACTGTAGAGTGGGGATTTTAAATATTTCCAATAAGCCAGTGTCTTGAAATAAGGTATACATAACCTAAATGTCAATTAAAATAAAATTTACTTTAAAAATCAGAATTTCTATTTGTAGTTGAGTAGAATATGTTTTTGTGATTTGCATTTGGGAATGTTACCATGTATATATGTCTTTAAGTTAATAATTTATTAAAAACTTCTTTACAAGATACAAGAAATTCTTTTCAAAACATTAAAAAGGAAGACATCACCCTAAAACCCTTGAAAACCAAAGGAAGATTACCATATCATGTCCCAGTTTTAAAATTTTTCCATTCTTCCCTTTAGCTTTTTTATTTACAATTTATTAAGGGGCATATGAAATCTATTCTACTCTAGTCCTGGGTGTTAACAGAAGTCAGAACAATGTATTTATTACGTTTTTGTCCCTAAAGACTTCAATGAGATGAAACCATATGCCCTCCACATAATTTATCCTTATGCTTGTACATTTCATAAATAAGATACTTTGAAGATAATGAGAGTGATATTTTGGGAAGGTTAATCTGATGCTGTTGTATGAATTTCTCAGGGGGAACCCTGAGTCTGGGTGGTTAGAAAAGAACTATTTTTCCATGGTTCTAGCATGAAATGAATCATCTGGCCTTGGGTAAAGCACAGGGAGGGCAGGTGAAAAAAATAAGCACAGGTTTCAGTGGTTAGAACTAGCTCACCTTTCATGTCCTTTTCAACTGCAGGGCTCAATATAAAGTAACTCTTTATTCTGTAGTAAAACTAAATCCCACTAATATGGGCCCAAAAAACTACTTTTCATTTATTCAAACAAAATTACATGAAACATATTACATACAATAATTATTTTCATATATGGGTTTATGTATATAGGTTTCTCTTTTCAAATTTTCTACTGAAAATTTCATTTGTGAAAAAAAGAATTCAGCGAACAATGTTGAACTTGTGCTTAACCCAGTAGTACACGTTTTTAGACTTTGCGTTTTATAAAGATTCAAGAAAAAATTAATTTATAATTAAAAAAAGTAGAGGGGCGCCTGGGTGGCTCAGTCGTTAAGCGTCTGCCTTTGGCTCAGGTCATGGTCCCAGGGTCCTGGGATCAAGACCTGCATCGGGCTCCCTGCTCAGCGGGAAGCCTGCTTCTCCCTCTCCCACTCCCTCTGCTTGTGTTTCCTCTCTCGCTGTGTCTCTCTGTCAAATAAATAAAATCTTTAAAAAAAAAATTAAAAAAATAAAAAAATTAAAAAAGTAGAGATGTTAAACAAACCTGACTAAGGATCCTTCCTGATTTCTCTCCCATTTTTTCTACAACTTCAAATATTTGAAAATTCCAGTTGCTCATCTTTTCTATTAAGGAATCATAATCTTCTATTAAAATCAGATCCAGTGATGCTTCCTGTTCAATCTGCACATATAGGGGGAGAAAACAAACCAACTTAACCTTACCTTTTAAAAATATTGTTAAATCCACATCTAAATGAGAGCACTTAAAACTGAACATTAAAAAATGGTCAATACTATTTTCAACAAAAGTTATTCTCAAATATAATCTGTACTTCCAATTTCCCCTCTTTGTAAAATGCTATCTTCAGAAAAATGTAAAAATGTCTTCTAGGCATCAGAAGACTTATTAATCTTCACAGTAGTTTTATAAATAAAAATATTTTCTTTCCAAAACACTATATACAAGTCTAAAATCCACTATTTGTATTTTAGAAGTTACAGGTATCAAAGGATAATAGAAAGACACTCCTATCTTATACTGGTATTTATTACTAGTTTAACTCCCAAAAGGAATGGATGATTTTTCCCCTAAAAACCTTAAATTTGGAACTTAAGAACAAAACACTGCTATTATAAGAAAGTAGATTTTGTTTTTTAATGCGTTGTGCACCTGTTCCTCATACTTTTAACATATACAATGAAGAAAATATCAGCATAGAAAGTAATATATCTACTGTAAAACTAAAATATGTTCCTGTGTTCGTTTTACAACGAATGCACTTTGCTGTTCTAGGATGATGGATTCAGAAGTACAATTGACCATTGAACAACACAAGTTTGAACCATGCAGGTCCACTTACACCTGGACTTTCTGTAGTACAGTGCTGTAAAGAGAGTACTCCCAATACTGTAAGTACAGCACATACAGTACCTGCATTTTCTCACCCTTAGGATTTTTAATCACATTCTCTGCCCTAGCTTATTTTATTGCAAGAATACAGTATACAGTACATATACAAAATATGTGTTAATTGACATATGTGCTTATGCTATCAGTAAGACTTCTGATCAACTGAAGGTCATTAGCAACTAAGTTCTGGGGGAGTCAAAAGTTATATGTGGATTTTTGACTGCATGTGGGAGGGTCAGCACCCCTAATACCAGCCTTGTTCAACGGTCAACTGTAATTATTATTTTTAACCCAAGGTTTTCTTTAATATGATATAAGGACTTTTCAGTAAAAAATTTAAAAGTACTATTATATTAAAAATCTTGTTCTGGGCAAAGATAATGAAACTAGTACTAAACTAATGTTATATTTCACCTTAACATAATCATATGGAAAGTTTATCTTTTACATTTGGTTGCTGTTCATTCTGTGCCTCTTCTGTTAGGTGATTATCACCTTCCAAAAATAATTTTCTGTAGTCTCTGTTCTCTGTTTCCACTTCCTGCGCTTCTGTGCAGTTGAATGATTGTTTTGAGGGAATGGTGCTATCTTCGTCACCTTTCAAAAAATACATAGAGTAATGATAAGAATAAAACTTGCCCTATATGCATAGTTTTATAAGGAAAATTACTTATAAAAAATATAAAATGGGGTGCCTGTGGCTCAATTGGTTAAGCATCTGTCTTTGGCTCAGGTCATGATCTCAGAGTCCTGGGATGGAGCCCCACGTCAGGCTCTCTGCCCAGCGGGGAGCCTGCTTCTCCTTCTCCCTCTACCCCTCTCCCCCTGCTTGTGCTCTCTGTCAAATAAATAAATAAAATCTTAAAAAAAAAAAAAAAAAAAGGAAAAGTAAGTCCCTATCAATAGGAAGTTTTTAGCAATTTGATGTATGCAATGTCCAACATCTGAAATTGTTTGAGTTTTGGCTATGAAAACTCTAGATTCATAATTATAAATGAATGAGATCAAGGAACATCTAAAAATTAAAACACAGTATCATTTATTGTGAATTATTTCTCTACCAATGTGATTAATAATGATCTTTTTTCCCAAATCTCATGGAAAAGGGAAGCAGCACCAGTAGCTAAATAGCATTCATTCACATGTAAAAAAAAATCATATTCATTCTGTTGGTAATATTATAAACAGGAAACTTCCCCAAAACCCATCAACAGTAGAATAAGTAAATGTAGTATATTCACACAACTGAACACTATGGAGCAAAGAGAATTAACTACAACCACACGCAACAAGACAGATGATTCTTAAAAATATAATGTTGAATGAAGGAAGTTAGACACAGAAGTACATAATCTGTGATGTTCTTTATGAAAAGTTCAACAACATACCAAAACTGATACATATGAGTATCGAAAGCCAAGACAAATGTTATCTTTAGAGGGTATACCTGGAATGGGGCATGAGGAGAAATTCTGAGGTGCTGGTAATATTTTGTTTATTAGTTTACTGATCTGGGTGGTTACACAGGTATGTTAAGTGTGTGAATACTCATCAAGTTATAAAGTTATGATTCACTTACTTTTCAATATGTAGGGGGTTTTCCTAAGTAAAAGGTTTTTGTTTTTTTTTTAAAGACTTTACTTATTTTATTTGAGAGAGAGCATGCACATGCATGCAACAAGCAGGGGGAGGGAGAAGGGGAGAGGGACAGAATCTCAAGTAGACTCCACGCTGAGCACGTGGGGCTTGATCTCACGATGCTGAGATCATGACCTGACCCAAAACCAAGAGTCCGATGCTTAACCGACTAAGCCACCCAGGCGCCCCTAGGTAAAAGAGTTTTTAAGAGTACATATCAGAATTGAGTTTCAGAAGAACTAGGCTCAAATCCTGATTTTGTACTTGATAATGGCAAGCTTTTTCCCCTGTAAAATATGGATAATAACATCTATTTTACTAGATGTTACATATAATAAATGATCAATAAATGTTAGTCAAATCTTAATCTAAAATTGAATATACTAAAAAATCATTAACTAATGATGATCAGGAAATATCCTTTGGAAAATACTATTTTTTCCCAATGAAAAGCATTTAACAAATGAAATTTAGAATATACAACTACTCTTGGTAAGTTAAGGCAATACTACTAATAAAATATATATAATAATATTCTAAAATAGCCATCATGACATATGAGGTTCATTAAATACGGTTTTTTTTTTAAGATTTTTTAAAGATTTTATTTATTTATTTGAGAGGGTGGGAGGAGCACAGAGGGAGAAGCAGACTCCCGAATGAGCAGGGAGCCTGATGCGGGGCTCGATCCTAGGACCCAGAGATCATGACCTGAGCCGAAGACAGACATTTAAATGACTGAGCCCCATACGTATTTTAATGATCCAAACTTCTAATAACTCTATCTTACATAGAACAGTAATAAAAACAGTTGAAATAAATGTAATAATTTCCTTTCCGAAGTTGGCCACAACACTATGTCTTACCCCCCCTTGCACTCTTTTGAAATGTATTCTTGTTGCTCCTCCATCAAGACACTGCATCTATTTCCTAAGCCCCAGGAATCTGGACAGCCTGCGTGACTGCTCTGATTAATAGGATATGGCATAAGTAATGCTTTGTTCTGGGTTGAGCCATTAATTTGACTGGCAGCTTCTACTTCCTCCTCTCCTGGAATCCAGCAAATATGCTGGAAGAAGCCCACAGAGAGATCATATTTAGATGGACTAGTCAGTAATCAGCAGATACATGAGTAATCCCATCTTGGAAATTCAGCCCAATCATTCCTTCAGATGACTGTCACTCGTACCAATATCTGACTGCAATCACATGAGAGTCCTCAAGTGAGAATCTCCCAGCTGATACCATTCAATCCAAAGAAGTGTGTGTGTATAATGTAATAAAATACTATAAAATCTACCCATTTTAAGTGTATAATTCAACAATTTTAGTATATTTACAGAGTTGTACAACCATATGACAATTTTAGAATATTCTCATCACCCCAAAAAGTACCCTCCTGCTTATTTATAGTTAATCCCTATTTTCATCCTAGGTGATCACTGTTCTGATATTGTCCCTATAAATTCACCTTTTCTAGCATCTCATATAAATAGAATCATACAATATGAAATCTTTTGAGCCCGCTTCTCTCACTTAGAATAATGTTTTGAAGTCTATCCATGCAGTGTCATGTATTAGAAGTTTGTTCCTTTAACTGCTAAATAAAATTACATTGTATGGATATACCACGATAGTTCTCCATTTACAAGTTAATGGACATTTGGATCATTTCCAGTTTTGCAGTGTCATCAATAATGTCATAACATTCACAATCTTGTCTTTGAGCGCTCATATATTTTCTCATGGATAAATTCTAAGCCATGGTATTACTGGGTGATATTATAAATTTATGTGTAACTTTTAAAGAAACTGTCAGAATGTTTTCCAAAGGGGTATACCATTTTATATTCCCATCAGCAATGCATAAAGGTTCTAATTTCTCTGCATCCTTGCTAACACTCGGTATTGTCTGTCTTTTTTATTATAGTTAGTCTAGTTTGAGTGTAGTGCTATCTCACTGTAGTATTAATTTGCATTTCTGCAATGACTAATGATGTCATTCATCTTTTCATGTGTTCATTAACCATTTGTTTATATCCTTCACCAAATGACTCAGACCAAAATATGTGACATCTTTTGCCCATTTTTTGAGCTGTTTGACTTCTTAATAATGAATTATAAATGTTCTTTATGTATTATGGATATAAAACCTAATCAGATATATAATTTCCAAATATTTTCTCTCAATCAGTGGTCTGTCTTTTCATTTTCTTATTGTTGTCTTTTGAAGTGCAAAAATTTTTATTTTGCTGAAGCCCAATTTGTCATTCTTTTCTTTCATGGACTGTGCTTTTGGTGTGGTATCTAAGAATGCTTTATTCAACTCAAGGTCACAAAGACTATATCCTATATTTTCTTCTACAAGTTTCAAGTTTTTAACTCTTACACTTAGGTCTGTGATCTATTTTGAGTTACTTTTTATGTATACAGTAAGGTAAGAGTCCAAATTCTTCCTTTAACAAGTGAATATCCAATTGTGCCGGCCCCATGTGGTGAAATAACTATCCTTTCTCTTTTGAATTATCTTGGCTTCTATATCAAAATTCAGTTGATCATAAATGCAAGAATCTATTTTTGGATTTGCTGTTCTGTTCCACTGATCTACAGGCTCGTCTTTGGGCCACTACCTCACTATCTTAATTACAGTGGCTTTACAGTAAGTTTTGTAGTGTCAGTCCTCCAAATTTTTCCTTCTCCATTGTTTTGGTTATTGTTGGTCATTATCTTTCCATGTAAAATTTAAGACCAACTTGTCAATTCCTACAAAAAAAAGAGCCTGCTAGAATTTGATAAGGATTACAATGAATTTATAGATCAATTTGGGAGCCCTACTGACAATACTGAGTTTTTCAATCTTTTAATATGAAATGCCTCTCAATTTATTTAGATTTTCTCTAATCTTTATCAAAGTTTTGTAGTTTTCAGTTTATAAATCTCCCCTTCTTTGGTTAAATTTATTCTACTACTTCATTCTTATGAATTGAAATGTTTTCTTAATTTCAATTTATGATGGTTCATTGCCAGTACACAGAAATACAATTTTGTACATCACTGATCTTGCATCTTGTCTCTGCTAAACTGGTTTATTGGTTCTAGTGTGTGTGTGTATTCTTTGGGATTTTCTACACAAAGGTTCATATGATCTATGAAAATGGGACAGTTTTCTTTCTTTATTTTCATTCAGGATGCCTTTATTTCTTTTTCTTTCTAATTCTCCTGGCAAGAACCATGTAGACTAGATGTGCTGAATGCAGGGGCGCCTGGGTAGCTCACTCGGTTAGGCATCTGCCTTTGGCTAAGGTCATGATCCCAGGCTCCTGGGATCAAGCCCAGTGTCTGGCTCCCTGCTCCTGGCTCCCTGCTCCATGGGGAGCCTGCTTCTTCCTCTCCCTTTGGCCCTCCCCCTGCTCATGTGTACTCATTCACTCTCTCTCTCACAAAAATAAGTAAAATCTTTAAAAAAAAAAAAAAGGTGCTGAAAACAAAAACCTTTATCCTATTCTTGACCTTAGGGAGAAAGCATCAGTCTTTTTCCATTAAAGATGATGTTCAGGGGCGCCTGGGTGGC